GTGTGGATGTGCCGCCATGGCAGAGCCTGCGGGGGGTCCTCAGCCCCAGCCCCTGGTGAGGAGGAAAAAAAGCATATCTATAGAGGAAAAAATAGACATCATAAGTGCTGTGGAGAGCGGCGAGAAAAAGGCAGACGTCGCAGCCAAGTATGGCATAAAGAAGAATTCCTTGTCTTCAATTATGAAGAATAAAGAAAAAGTTTTGAAAGCCATTGAAACTTTACAATTTGATCCTAAAAGAAAAAGACTAAGGACTGGTGTTCATACTGACGTGGAGGAGGCATTGATGAAGTGGTACAGAGTTGCTCAGTGCTTGGATGTGCCGGTAAACGGTCCCATGTTGCGCCTCAAGGCTAATGATTTTGCCCAGAAGCTTGGACATAGTGATTTTAAATGCAGTAATGGCTGGCTCGATCGTTTCAAGTCAAGGTATGGTTTAGTTTTCAGAGCTCAGCCTGTAGAAGCAGCTGCTGCTACTACAGTGGATGCTCCAACTCTTTGGTACCAAAATGTTCTTCCTTATGTAAATGATTATGAGCCAAAAAATGTGTTTTGTATACAGGAGACTGGGTTGTTGTATCAGATGTTACCACATAACACATTTGCATTTAAAGGGGAAACTTTTTCTGTAGATAAACTAAGCAAAGAGAGAATAACCATAGTGGTGGGTACAAATATGGATGGTTCCGAGAAACTTCCTTTGCTTGTTATAGGAGAAAACAAAAGTCAGCGCTGTTTCAAAGACATGAAGTTGCTACCTGTGGATTATGAAGCAAATGACATGGCATGGATGACTTCAGAAGTGTTTGAACGGTGGATGCATAAACTTGATGACAGATTTCAAGCACAGCAGCGACGAATAGTTATTCTTGTTGATTCTCTCCCAGCTCATACAGAAGTAAAGAACCTGAAGTCTGTCAAATTGGTGTTCTTTCCTCCAGACTCTTCTTCGTGTATAGCTGCAAACCAAGGGGTTATCAGAAGTCTGAAGGTTAAATACAGGTGCTGTCTTATCAAGAGATTTGTTGACTGTGTAGGAGGTAATAAAGAGTTTACGCTGACTCTTCTTGATGTAATTGAAATGTTGCACCTGTGCTGGAGGAAAATCACACGAGAGACTATTGTAAAAAGTTACAGTGAAGCAGGATTCAAAATAGAAACCAAGGCAAATGGTAATGACACAGAGGTTGAAAGTGATTTTGATTTGATTGCACATGCACAGGCAGCTGGAGTAGAGTTTCCAGAAGGTTTATCTTTGGAGGAGTATGCAGCTCTAGATGATGGCTTGGTGACTTGCGAAATGTCCACAAATAATGAAAGGATGTGTGCCAAAGAAAGCACATCAGATAAAGCTGGGACATTTGTTGGTGAAGAAGAAAAGGAGGAAGGTGATAGATTTCAGGGAGCCGAACAGCCTTTACCAACAAAAAATGAGGCTTTGAGTGCTTTAGATACCCTTCGAAAGTTTCTCAGAAGTCAAGACATGAATGATTCTCTTCACGACTCCCTAGCTGACCTGGAGAATTTTATTCGACATGTAGCATGTAAATAAATATTTTATCAAACTGTGGAAGCATGTAATTGGAAAAAAAGGAATTAGATAAGTAAACAAAAATAGGCAGCTTAGTAACAAGTGTCGTTGCAGTGTAACTGTTTTAAGTACAGTGGAGGCAAAAGCAATTCTTTGAGCAGTTCGGTGCGTTCATGATGAACTGGTGCCCACTTGTAACTCTTTCTTCAAGAAGAGATTAGCACTTCTTCACATCGATAATTTCACCGGTGTCTTTGGTACTGTTGACAGTGGAATAGTAAAAATTTTTATCAGCTCGGTGCTTTTGATACTTAAATGAAAAATTGAATAACACAGAAAATAACATGCTTAAGTTCTGAGAACTAAGGGGTTTTTTTAATAATTTTTTTTTGTCCTTGTTCAAGAATTCTGGCCGTAGTTTATTCTTGTAGTATATGATGAACAGCAGAAAGTTAGCAGCTTGGGATATGTTTTGTTTTCTTAAAGCTGCTCATTTGTGGATACACACGGATGGCATAATCATTTATCTGAGAGTCAAAAGGCAAACAAACCTGTACTTGGTCTTTGAAGAGGTCAAAAAGGAAGGTCATTCTCTCAGCCTTTTTGGTATTTGGATTTGATGTAGGTTCTTCCGTGCAACTCTGTGTATTTCTACAGTAAATACAGAGAAAAAAAAAATCAGTTTATGCAGTATCTGCACTCAGAACCTTACTGATGTCTTCTTTTATTTACTGTACTTGAAGGGTTTGTGGCAGGAGTCAATGCACCAAACGCAGTTCAGTATTACAGGTGCCATGAATGGGGGGCTGTTCGCGTGAATGCCATGTGAAATTGAGTAAATGACAGTGCACTCACACGTCTTCAAGTGTGGAGCAGTTTCAAGCATTGTAATTATACCAGAGACAAAAATCTCAATTTGTTTGAGACATACTGTTCGTGACTTTTTGCAAAACCTGTTTTAAATATTTTCCATATCTACCAGTTTTATTTTTTTTCAAAAGTTAGATATAATAATTTTTCTATTTTAGAGGAAGAATGAAATATTTTATGGAAGCCGTTCAGGAAACCTGTGTAATAAAGAATCTATTGTGGTGCCTGTAATTAAACCATGAGAAACAATCTCTTGCTTACTTGAAGCTTCAGTTTTCAATAAATAGTTTGGCTAAAGCTTTGTTTGTTGTTCCTTCTGGTGCAGGACAGTATATCCATTTCTAAAAGCATTTCAGAAAATGTATCAAATTTTTGGAAAGTGGTGAAACTGGGGTGGGGGGGAGGGGGAGAAAATGCCTGGGCTAAACTGTATGAAAGTTTTACTGGAACTCCTACAAAAAAACCCCCCATAAACTTCTAGTTTCTTATTATGCAATATCTGATATTAATTCCATCCAAAGGAAGTTCTAATGAAATAAATTCTGTTGAAATTCCAAAAATAAAGTCTCGCACAGAGATGTATAGATTCTGTGAAAGAGGTGCTCTGTTAACTATTTATTGTGTTAAAATACAGATGCAACATCTTTCAAATTTGGAAGCTGTGTCAAATAACACATTTTGCTTGCTTAAATACTTTAGAACAAGCTTATGGAAAGTACTTTTTATTCTGGCTAAGCTTATTTGAAGTTCATATAAATCCCACAGAGCCCTATGGATAATTTTTCTTCAGTAATATTTTGATTTAAAATCCATGTTTTTCTTTGCAACAGCTTCTCCTGCTAAAGGCAAGTTTAGGAAAATGTTTATATTTTCCATATAGTAAATTTGTATATTCTTTAAGATTCAACTCCATGTGGACATCATCAGCCCAGGATCTAGATAAGGAGACTGTTTCCTTCTAAGAGAATTCTGAGTGTGAAAGTGTTGATCTGAGTGAGAAAGGCTTGCCTAAGTAAGTAGCAAATCTTGGTAAAACAAGGGTTCCACCTACAAAAAGTGTAGTCTTTGCAAGATGAGGCTTAGAAAATCAGGAAATAATATTGTTAGCTAATGATGTATGGAGTGCTGTTGTACTCCCTCATCAAAACAGCAGAAAGGATTTAGTAATTTGTCCTGGACTGTGAAGGTGAATTGTGGAACTTGCCTTAAAAAACATACAACCCCTTGAAATCCTGTATCTTTAGAGAATATATGACTTTTTCCTAGCCTCTTAGTTCATTCAGAGAAGCCAAGCTAAAATGCAGTCAGTGAAACTATTTTTTTAGGTCAGACACTTTGTATTCTAGCACTTACAGCTTTCAAAATTATTTAGGAGACCAAATATTTCTTTTCACTTGGATTTTGGTCACATTTATAGTCAAACAGAGAATGTGAAATCTGTTATAAAGCTTGTTGCTATTTCAGGTGTTTGTTCTCAGGGAAATGCAGACTCCTCAGCTCCAAAATGCTAGCAGTGAAAAAGGAGGTGGCACACTCTGTAAATGTTAGTCATTTTAGCCTGTGTACACAGTTTGAGCTAGAGATTTTTTTACATTGTCTAGGTAAACCAGGACACTGGCTTTTTATGTCTGGGGTGGTATCTGCTGGAGGGAGAGGAGGAATATTGCTTTAGACTGCACCACATTTAAAAAGAAGAACCTTTTCTACAAAAGGCAGGTTACTAAGGCTGTAGTTTGCTAGATATTAGTTTGGACAACTACGTGCTTTTTCCTGTACGCTTTTCTACTCTATGCTACAGTTAGATAATAATTAGGTGCTTTGGCATCAAGTCAGTGAGGTCACTTTCAGTAACCCAAAGTGACTTCTAGAAATGTGAACTGAAAAGATTAAGTTTTAAAACTGTAACTGACCTCCAAGCAAGGCCAAAATAGAAAAAAAAAAAAAAAATTGGAAAGTATGTTTGATATAACCAAAAGCACCCTCGGTGTCATTCTTGAGAACAGTAATATGTAAAATCAAGTATGCTTTTCAAAATACATCAGCATTTGAAAATTTTAATAAATATTGCACTGTTGCTGTTGTGTGCAGTTCTGGATACCTTTCAGATCTATAAAACTACATCTCCTTTCAAAACTGATACTCAAAGGAAGGTTACTTACCTCTAATGATAAAAAGAAATTACTTTAGCAAGTTTTTGCACCCTTAGGCAAAAACAGCAGGGCGGGGGGAAGTCAGTGATTTATAGGAGAGCAATCCATACCTGCCTGTAAACCCAGGATTTGTGACATACTGATAGCTAAGTAATTGAGGGAGTAAATAAGTTGCTGGTTTCTCATTATTATGTAAATCTTGAGAATTATAGTCTCAAAACCACAGAACCCTTAGTGATTTTAAATGTTAACTGCAGTATTTTCATAAATGTAGATTAAATTATAACATTAAAATACTAATAAAATACCTTCAAGATTTTTTTGGTGGTTGTGTTAAATTGAGATGGTAGAGTGACTATTGGCCTACACAACACTTCACTAAAACGTGTTGTCACTGGGCAACCATGGCATACAATGACAGCATTTCACATTATTTTCTTCCTTTAATAGCAATAAAAGCTGGTGCTTCCTATTTTTGGGAGGCAGTTGTTAAAGGAGGACTTTGCAATGTTCCTGTTGGGACCTGAATGGTGCTGTGACCAGAGAAGAGCTTTATATTTAAGCAAGGCAGATAGTATTTGTATCTAGATGTTTTAATATGGCTATTTAGGGGTTCCTTCTGTGAAAATCAGAACCAAACCCATTCAATTCATCAGCAAACAAACCCAACTGAAACTTCTGCGATGCAACGAGTGACAGCTTACTTCTCTCGATACATTCATTAACAATAAAAAAATCTTTGCAACAGATGAAAAGATAACAAGTTTATGTCTGACAGCCTGTTTTCACACACAGCTTGTATATTGGGCAAGCAGCGTTGTGCAGACACACAATTCCCTTCTAGTGGTATAACGTATAACCACACCATTGTTTTATGGGATCAGTAATTCCAGTGTGGCTCGTTGCCCTTGTTGCTAGTTTCTCCATTTGAGATGTATTTTCTCTCTGACAACTGTGGCTGTTTACCTGCCTTGGTCTAGTTAAGACCACACAACTTCTGGGTTAAGGCAGAGTGGGAAAACCAGTAGTGTCTCACTGACTGTTTCGTAGCTGTGTCACCTCTGCTCCTTGAGCGGAATGGAAAAGTGCAGATTACAAACTACTGCGATCAGTAAAGTGAACGAATACCACCCTGAATTACCAGATCTGCTGGGTGAGAAGGTGCCATACTTACAACAATTTTTAAAATGCCTTACTGTGTGTTACAGTATTTCAGCTGAAAGCCACGTTCTTCCTAAGCTTTCTTGGTTCTAATCACCAGGGCAGTGACTCATCTGTCTGAGAAAGTTGTGGTCCAATGGGATGGTGCAACCTCAGCCCAAATGCCAAATGAAACACCATTCATCATACATCAACCAGATGTTTGAAAACTCTGCGGGACACGGGGTTGCCAAGAGAGCCATCCCAGGGGGTGGTAAAAGGTCTCAGCTGGCCCCTGCTCAGTAGCAAAGCTGAAGAGCTCTACTCGCTGGAGAAGCTCTTGCAAAACACTTGCTATTCAAGAAGGATCACTCCAGCGTGTGATAACTAGTTGCTGGATTTCTCATCTGAAGTCATCCACTTCTCTTGAGCCATGTGCTGCGGGGCTGCCACCGCATCGTGCACATGAGACAACATACTGAAACCACCTTTATCCTTCTAGCAGTGTTGGTGCCTCATATTTCTGCAGAAATGATGTACTATGATGTTTTGCTATTCAGAGTTTTCTTTCTTTTCTCTTCTACCTTTTTTTCCATCTATTGCCTTCTCTAATTTGAAATTCATCTATATCCTGCTAACTAGTGTTAATGTTAGGATTCTCAGCACAACCTTCTGGCAAGCTGCTTTTCTCCTTATTTCTAATACTATCTTTTGCAGGTGGTATTTTTGAATCATCTCGTGTATCAGCTAGTATCACCCTGTTAGTACACATGCTCATGACCTCAGGCACTAATTTCTCCATTGCTGTATTTAGCGGTCTTCCCACATCCTTGCTTCACGTAGCCAAGAGCATTTAGTCTG